AAGGTGTAGGTCACAGTGCTAAACCCTCTGTCACCTATTCATCTCTAAATAAAACTAGCCGCCATTTGCCTTAGTAAAAGTCTCACAATCACAAGGCGTTCGGATAATGACTTTCAGCAGGAAATCTTCCATCATATCTGCCCTTGTCTTGCTCAGGAGAATGGGCACGTCAGCTCAATAGTTGGCCTCATTATTTATGTTCCTTCTCCTCCAGGTAGTTCTTGCACACTATGGGTTTGTCTTGGATATCGCCTTAAATTTGGGAAAGATCTCTGGCATATCCACCAACGAAGTGACCCCAGACCAAGCTCAGCCACTTTCTGCCACTTCAGTATTTCACATTCTGACTTATTAGCAGAGGTGGAAAGTTCAGGTCTAGAAAGTACAAATCCAGACCAAGGTTTTGTTTCAACCAACCAGTTCAGTATACAGTAAAGAGTCACAGTCACAGAGTCCTCAGTTGGTTGGTTGGAACAAAACCTTGCCCTGGATTAGTACTTTCTGGACCTGAACTCTCCACCTCTGCTCATTAGTTCTTAAGAACACTTCAGTTCTGGCTGATTGGCATGTTTTGTTACTTCACGAGCTGATTAGTGCAACGCTGCCCAGTTTCATGCCTTTGCTCAGTACCAGAACAGACTACAGTATTCGCAGATGTCATCAGCAAGGGTACCAAAGGACGGACTGCATTCTTAGAAGAGGAGCAGTATCAGGCCGATGCATATTTTGCTTCATTATTTTGCCAAAGAATGAAACACTAGTCATTTAGTGGTAATGCTGATGAATGCACCCATAGCAGCAGTTTCTGCAGAGACGCTTTGAGGTGACCCTACTTCCAGGTGGCCCTACTTCCAGGTGGCCCTACTTCCAGGTGGTCCTACTTCCAGGTGGCCCAGAATAAAGTCCAACTTAATCTAAAAATTTCATGCAAGCACCTCTGAAAAGCTGATGTCGAAACTCCTGGTATCACTTAGGTCAGCTTAAATTGCAGGCATAGTAGATTTTAAAAAGCAATGGTGTAAATGATCTACTTGCCTGATTCTGGGAGACCGAGAAGAAACTAAAACCTGAAAATGGGGTGAGGTACACTGTCAGAAAAGAGGGTAAAGCCCTGGTACTTGTACCACCAATGGTGCAAAAATGTTCCTCTGAGTCCATTTCCATATCTTAAATGACACCATACCTGTCAAGTTTTGGATTTGAAAATAAGGGAAATTTTCCGGCACCCGCCGCGAGCCACCCCACCACTCCAACCAAGCTCCAGTATCCCTTACATTTTAAGACAGGTGTACAAGAAATCTAAAATAACCACTTGTCATTTACGGGAAAATACAAATAAAGAGGGAAAGAGGGGTAAAATACGGTACTTTCCCGGCCAAAACGGGAGACTTCACAGCTATGAATTAGACTAAAAGGTACATTTACATACAGCTAAGGTACAACTGGAAGAACCTCAAGGGTACAGCTCCAGTGACAAGTACACTGCCTGGCCAAAAAAGTCACTGTTTGAATTTAAATCTGCAAGTACTTAAGAGCCAATGATCATTATTACAGCTCAGCAACGTTATGCAGCAGTGATGTGAAGTCAGCTGAGTATCTGAATCTATTGAATGGCCAGGTTACCTCATCAATGGGTTATTTTCTTTCCTAACAGCACGGGCATATTCCAGGATGATAAAGCCACGATTCATCCGGCTCGAATTGTCAAAGAGTGGTTCAGAGAGCATGAGGAACCGTTTTCACACATGAATTGGCCATGACAGGGTCTTGATCTTAACCCCACTGAAAGTCTTTGAGATGTGCTTAAGAAGACTTCATGGAGTGGTTCAACTCAGCTATGATCAATACAAGATCTCAATGAGAAATTAATTCAATTTTGGATAAAAAAAAAAATGTTTTGATCTTACATAAGCACGTGGAAACAATGCATTGATGAATCTGCCCCATAATCAAATAAAGGCCATCCAACGAAATATTAAAGAGTGTGACTTTTTTCTTCGCCAGGCAGTGTACTTCTTATGATAAAATTAAGATAATAATATATAAATTAAGTTAAAGAGTTCTGATTGTTTTGCAGGAAAGAAAGCTTCTAAGGTGTCATTAAGGGTACTAATAGCTCTAGCAGTAGACTGTAAGCTGTGCGTAGCTACAGACATGCTCTGGAAGGTCTGTCGAATCTTAGTTATTTTACCATTAAAAGATATAATAAAGACATCACTCCTAAGGGCTTCTGGAAATTGTGAGTTAGCATTGAAGAGTTTAACATTCTGTGTTAACCTAGACACAGATTCAAACAAGAATTTTGAATTGTTTTTGTTCTCTTCTATAAATCTGGAGAGATACACAGACCTTGTAGTCACTAGTGCTTGTCTATACTTGCAGAGGCTCTTCTTCCAAGCTGATCTGCAAACTTCTAGTATGGTTGAAGCCTACCTTTCTTGAAGCCTGTTTAAGTTCATGTATATGATCAGAGTACCAGGGGGCAGGTTTCTTATCTATTCTTATGTTTTATTTTCTTAAGTGGAGCTATAAGATCTAGAGTTCTGCGAAAGGATTTCACCATGTTCACAATTACCTGTTCAAGTTCACTTTCATTTGAGGCTTTGGATGTAAAGTGGAAGGACTGAGTAAGCTGTTCAAGAAACATTGTGGCGGATAAGGAGGCTATGGAGGGACTGATACTGTACTGTCGGAGCTGGGGCCTAAGGAAGACCATACTGTATTTCAAACGTTAATAAAGTATGATATGAAAGTAGAGGATTCTGGGGGATAATAGATACATGTTCCACCAGGATACCATGGCTAAGAATCAAGTCCAGGTTGTGGTTACAGGCATGAGTAAGCTCGGCTACATTCTGTCATAAACCTTCAGAGTCAAGAATAGCAGCAAACGGTGTTGTTAAAGAATCACTGTCCTTCTCAATATGAATATTAAAATCGCCAACAATTGAAAGTGATCCAAAGACCTATACAGAGCAAAGACGAACCTCTGGTCTACTGCATACTGATGTGGATGTAAGCAGCAATGGAAAGGGTTCAAATATCACAATAGCAGGCATGATTGCCCAAATGTTCATTTACATTATCAATTGGTTTATAAACAATGTTCACCTTAAATTGGTATCAGCTCTGTAACATGTTATGCCTGAGCAAGCAGGCACAACAGGTATTAAACTCCAAGCCTGTGTCTTCCAGAGTCCATTAGTGAGGCAGCCAGTTGACACACTGCATGGGATTCTAATTCTGATTCTAAACAGCCAGGGAGAAGTAGTCACTGGTTCCATTGTGGAGAAATGGAAATCATTTACTTCTGAATCCAGTCCAGAAGGGCAAATGTAAACCCACCAAATCATGAGCAGGTGGTGAACTCAGCATCCCGGTTAATCTTTAAGGGTCATCAGTAAGATTAAGAGATTATATAAGAGTCCAGGTCCTCAGACACTTACACCAGTTTTATAAATCCAGCGGGAAGCTTCTGGATCTTGCTGTCCTTGGATTTGTACAGAACTCAGAAATCAGGTAAGTGGATTAATGAGAAACTTCCTCAAATATATAAATACCGGCAGAGTAGCATCGATCTGACGCAGCAGCTAAACATCAGCCTGAGGCCACGTTTTTTACAACAGGGAAGGGAGAATAGTCTCACAGCAGTGCAGAAAGACCCCAACTTCAGATCAATACCACTGCTTTAACCCACGGTGACACATAGAGGATGATGAAATGCATGAGAAAGGATCAGCTAGTGGTGGCCGGCGGTGAGGTCCGACTGAGAGCGGGAGGGCGCAGAAGCCGGTAATCAGGCCAGTGTGCTAATGCTAATGCCAGAGGTCTGCTCTGAGCCCCGTCCTTGACGGCCCAGTGTGCTAATGCTAATGCCAGAGGTCTGCTCTGAGCCGCGCCCTTGAAGGCCCAGTGTGCCCTCCGGACGGCAGCATTCCTCATGGAAAGATGCTAATTTTGCTAAGATTTAGCAGTTCATATACGACCTGAAATTTGAGTGTTCTTAAGAATAAAAATTGCTGCCGTAATGTGCTTAAATCATTTTGTAGGGGTGATGTGAATTCACTTTTATGAGTACTGAATACACAGATGTTCTGTCTGATAACTGGAATGTATTGGAAGCCCGCAAAACCCGGACAAAGAGAGTGGCTTAGACAACTAAATGATGTGAACTAAATTTTGAACTAAACATTTTGTCATCACTAGGACTCCGTAAAGAAGCTGATGTCTTTCTAAATAAAATATTTGTTCAATGTATACAGTTACTCTAAAATGCTAGAGAACATTTGGTGCTGGCATACAATACTGTAGTTAAACATGCAGACTTTGTTTTATAAACTCTGCCTTTTAAACATTAGCATGTGTTGAACATGTGCAGACTATTGGAGCATGTTTATATTTTAAACAATAATAAAGCGATTAGAAATGATTCTGGGATCCAGCACTTGGGGGAGTGATTATGAGAGATTTGAGGACAATTTCATTCCCTCCCATTTAATGTAATCGATGCACAAGCTTAAACATTTTATGTGCATCATAAATATAACAAAGGAAAATGCTTAAAAGTTACAGACTGAAACATGAAAAATGACAAATTCACAATGTCTTTATCCTTTAGAATATGGTACAGAAAGGCTGTCTACGGAGAACATGTTGAAGATAGACCTTTATATATATAATACATATTCATTTGGTGGGGCTAAAACACATTTTAAAATAGGCTTAACGACGATATATGTCTGTGTGTGTGATATATATTAATATGTATATTTCTTCGCAGGTCTTCTGCGTAGCGCGGGAACAGCTATATAGTGACGTGAACTCAAAGAGACCGAGCGCGTTCATTGGCTTAAAGCGGGAACCCTTGGGTTGCCAGATAGATCTCCCTAGCCATCTTTTCCTGTGTTATGGACACGCTACTTGTATATGCAAATGACATTTTGTAATACTATTTCGTTATAGGGAACTGTTGTAATCGGATTTATCTATACGAAACATCTAATCAGCATAGTATGTGTTTGCCCTTTTCTCAACAATGGACCACAGTGTTATTGATTTTTGGGTAATTCAGTGTGGTTTGATCAGCTTTAAAATCCCTGCGGAACTCTGGAAACCCTCCGTGCCCTTTCTCCTACTTTTACTCCCTATCCCACGTTGTGTTGTCATTAGAGACGAACTTGTGCTTTCAGATCTGGACGAAGGTAATATGAGAATTGGTTATTAATATTAATATTTGTGTTTACTGACTTTTTTGAAATGTCGTGCGTATTGGTGAGGTGCATTTCAAGTTAAGAGAACCGCTTGTCTGAAAGGCAGAATTTTTCCTTACAATCACTCACCATAACTGTGCCTCACAACAGTACAGACACGGGAAGTCAATAATTTACTCCACAGACAGGCTCACGGTTACTCGCTAACAAAAACACTGCAGGGTTACGACAATTACTATTTGCAACTTGAATTCATATGTTGATTTGCAGTATTACAGATACGTGCGTGCGGTGCAGGACATGCCGGTAAAGTGCATGATCGGTCCTGAGGAGCAGCTCCGGGACGTCGCAGTACAGTATTTATCCGCAGTAGTATGTTGGCTGAGCACCCCGGTCTCAGTCTCCGGCTGCTGTTCGCCTATTTACGGCACTTTTTCATTGGATGCATCCGGCTGGAATGGAAATCGCCCGGAAACAGAAAGTAACGCCGGCTGGTACTTTTCGAGCAGAACTCCTGACTTAATTTTTCACAGATCCCGCAGATGAGCTCGTCAGTCAACTAAATCAACTTAGGTGTCCGTGAATGATGACGCTCACCATCCGACCGCCCTGTGATTAAAAGCCATAATTATGCCAGAAGCAGATGGCAGTATGAGCTAATGTTACCCGGCACCAGGAATGCCTAGTGTATTTTTATGCATGCATACATACATAAAATCAAATTAAATTAAATTAAAATAAAAAATTAAGAAGAAAAATAGTGTATTTCCAGCATACGTCTGTCCCTCTTAGTGTGAGTTTTTTTTCTTTTAACAAAAACCAAATTTTAAAAAATTATTATTATTATTATTATTGACTGCATATGCACCAATGTGATGGTAGATAGTTTTGACAGTCTGGAGTGTTTATACATGCTGTTAAAGCTAATGTTTGCACTGTGTTGTAAATAGATGCTCAACAACAGGACAGGCAGGGCAGGCAATGGCCTGGGGCCCCGAGCTGGGAGGGGGCTCCCGAGGGCGGGTGATTATATTGTGCATTGCAACGACAAACCTGTTTTATTTGTCATTCTGTTTTTCGCAAAAGTGAAAAGAAAGGTCTTGTGTTTATTAAATTCTCTGTTAAATATTATAACTTTACACTTCACAATAAATTAAATGTAATACATTTTACCATGCTGGGGGAGGGGGAGAGTCCCTAGAATCGCCTCTGGTTGTAACTGACACAAAGTGACGTATGACAGCATGTGCTGTTTTCGTGATTAAGGCTTGTTTGAAATCCGTGCCCCATGCTGCCCCTTCCTCGGACCATGATTAATGGCCTGTGACATTCCTGTCCTTTAGTGCAAACCGATTAGTCACAAATTCGCATGCGTTTGATTTTGAGGGCAATTTATCTGTCCTAGAAATGACAGATCCCCCCAGAAACCATCTATCCTGAAGCCACAAATTCTGGTTTGTGTTCAGCTTGAGGCTGGGCTAGGCTCAGTGGAGGTACCCTGATAATGTCGTGTTTTCCTTCCCACCCCCCTCCAAGGCTGCTGAACACCGCTGCATGGTTTGGGGCCCCAGCACTGGCCGCAGGATGTGGACGGCAATTCACAGATGCTTCACAAGGGCCATGCTGAACCCGGGGGGTTTTAGGGCCCTGCGGCAGCTGTCTGGCAGAGGTCAGGCCCCTCTGGAGATCCCGGTCTGTCCCTCCTCACGGGGGAGGTGCTACCAGCACACCATGGCGGCTCCGCTGCCTGTGCCCCCCCAGCCCATGTGCACCCCCAGCCTGGGCATGAAACGGGCCATGTACCTGGAGCGAGAGCGCCAGCTGGAGGTGACATGGGAGAATGGCAGCAGCAGCCGTTATCCACTGATCTGGCTCAGGGATAACTGCCAGTGTGCCCAGTGCATGCTGCAGTCGGCTACTGCCCGCAGCCTGCCCCTGTCCCACCTCGACGTGGACACTGGCCTTGAGAGGGTCCTGATCACCGAGCCCTCAAAGGTAGGTGGCTTCTTTAGTGCCTGCTTAGTGCGGAACCCTCAATGTCCAGGTGCTCATCCATGTGTGGTTCCTCGATGGTGGAATGAGCTGCCCATCCTCATGAGGTCATCAGAGTACCTCTCAAGGTTCAAGAAATGCCTCAAGACCCATCTGCTCCACCAGGACCTCATGTAGCTCACCCAACGACTGACCTGCTGCATCTTCATCTGCTAACCTGTGGTCATAGTCTCTACTCTACTGGCAGCTCTTGTATTATTGTAGTTGTTATGTAGTGTGTGGGCAGAGTGGTGGCTCTGAGGCTAGGGACTGCCAGGAGTAATTCTACTCCATTGGGCCCTTGAGCAAGGCGTTTAACCTGCAAATGTTTCATCCGGGGTATGACGTTAATCTACATCCAGCCCTGCAAGCAGGTCCTCCAACTTCTGATGAAAATTTGGGGGTTGGTGGTAGGGTTGTCATCACCTGCTGCACTCAGGTTCTCATCCCTGAGGTGGTTCATCATGTGGTCGGTTCTGCAACGTGCCGTATCAGTGTATGCTCCTCACCTCCTCCTATGTAGGAACCTCAAAGTCCTCGTGTTGCCATTGATCTCAGTTGCTCCCATTAGGTTCTTGCAGATTTAAAATATATTGTGTGGCTCTTGCTCCAGCACTAACATTGTCTCATCACTGCTCACTCATTGGGAGCTCATCCTTGCTGCTCTTAGCCCTAACTGACTCCAGGTCAGGCGTGTGGTTGTGATATCCCGTCCCTGGTGGAGATGTGCTGACCCGTGTGACTCCCCCCTGCCTGTTTCCCCAGGTGTCCCTAGTGTGGCCAGACCAGCACGTCAGCGAGTTCGACGCCTCCTGGCTGAAGAAGCGGTGCTTTTCCTCCTCGGCGCGCCAAGAGATGCAGGACGAGCTCTTCCTCAACCGTAAGCCCTCATCACCACGGCGACCTCCCTCAGGCTCTCCTCCATCCAATCATTTTATCTTTCATCTTTAGTAGTGCCTGGATATTAACTTCTGCAGGCTCCTAAAAATGTATCCATTCATCAGTTTCATTTATTTGCTCATCCATTCTACGCTGGATACCAGCATGCCACAGCAGATGTCCCTAATTGTCACGGACGGGATGGGTGACTCTTCAGTCCAGTCCGCTTATTACTGGGGCGGTGTGCGGCCAACTGGGCCAAACACCATAGCAGCAACTGGTTATCCTCCAGGCCAAATGGGAGGTGAATGGAACGAGGAAGGCCACGTCTGGGACAGAATCGAGCATCCATGCAGCCAGTCCAGTTTATTTTTATCTAGCGTGTTTTGCAACACAGTTGCCCTGAGGCACTTCAGAAGAGTGTGTGGCAGTCCGTTATTATCTTTGCCAGATAAACACCCTGAAATGTGGACCTGCCTAGCTGCTGAGTGACTCAGCTCTAGTTACAAAAACACATTTTATTGTATAAAAAGCACATAAATCTGGTACTGGAGACGCAAAGGGTATAATTTGCCAGCCTCTGTAATCCTGCGCGTTACTCCTGCCCAGTTTCTGAGGTGTGGCTGGCGTGATTTTCAACGGCGTGTTCACCATCTGTATTCGTATCGAGTTGAAATGATAAATGTTCCTCCTTTGACATTTTGTGATGATAAACCTCTGACAATAACACCCGCAGATTAGTTAATTCAGCACCAACAAATAAAAGCCAACTTCATCAATTAGCGAGACCAACCAGTGTTGGTTTTGTTCCCAGTATGCTATACAGGTACGATACAAGCAAAGGGGTTGATGTATTCAGACTTTTACATGGATGCATCTGTCTTCGTTTTGGTACTGTGATGCCGTCACAGGCAAATGAGGTACTTGGTTGCATGTGTTTGTGTGACTCAGTGGGTTACAACACTGCCTGTGATCGGAAGGTCGCTGGTTCGAATCCCAGGGTCAGCAGAGTGATGTCACCATTGGGTGCTTAACTAGATCCATAACCCTAATTGTTTCAGGGGCTGTCTGATCTTGCTTTCTTAAGATGTATGTCACTTTGGATAAAAGTGGCTGTTAAATAAATAAATGTGAGAATCGTGCTTGAAGATTTGGCCCATAAACACCTGAGGAGGGGGAGGATTTAAATGTACTATAAAGGCCGATGGGAAGAACCTTCCCAAAATGATGGCTTGAGTTACAGCTATGAGCCAACGTGGTTGCGGCGACAAGCTGCACCTTCCGAGCTCGGGCATGTTTCACTCCTCATTATGCACCCAAAGAATTATCTGTCGGTCCTGCTTACGTCATAAAAGTCCAGAATTGTGCCGGAGCGTGTTTCCTTGCTCGCTGACTTTAAAGCTGTTGTGCTGTGCTTCATTAAATGCCGTCCGGTGAGTTACAGGCCAGACGCGTCTGCAAAAGTGATTAACGTGAGCAGCATAATTCACGGCTGGTTTTTGGGCAGTGGGGAATGTAGCGTGGGGGCGTGCTGGTGATGGACAAGCCCGTGAGGCCTGTGGGGTTTGGCTCGGAGCCTACAGAAGGGCTGGGGGGTGGGGGCTGTCCAGACACCATCCCCCCCCCCCTCCCAAAAAAGCAGGATTCCTAGGGCTCCCTGGTGGATCTGCATAGCTGACTCAAAAAGCAGAGCCAGTTGTCTCCATGAACCTGGGGTGGTTCAGTGAGAACAAAACCTGGCTTCTAACATCTGAGGTTCAAATCCCAATTGGCCTCTAGTGGCTGCTTGGTTTTGGAGGCAGTGTGTGCTTTGTGATCAGAAGGACATCAGATAAAATCGCAGACATATGTAAACACTATAAACACCATATATGATAGGATGAATCCCACCCTGCCTCCTCCCCCACTCACATAAAAAATGCCCTCAACTAAACACCCAAAAAGGTGTGTATGTTCACTTCTGGTGGTTTTTGTGTCGAAAAAGAAGTAATTTGCAGAACTGCAGTGGAAGCAGAATTTGCCAATTAGTCGATACGTAGGACATGGTAATTACTTTTAGACATGGATCTTAATCTGATGGGATGATAAATGGAAAGTACTATTTGCATGACATCCATTAATGGAAATTCACCTTCACAATTTCACTTTATCGACTTACAGAAAATTTACTCTTAATTAGCTGGTGCGATCTCCACCTGGGGACACTCCCTCGCGCTGGGTGCGTCGGCGGCGGCGGTGTGGGGCGCGCCGGGTCTCGCTGGGTGCGTCGGCGGCGGCGGTGTGGGGCGCGCCGGGTCTCGCTGGGTGCGTCGGCGGCGGCGGTGTGGGGCGCGCCGGGTCTCGCTGGGTGCGTCGGCGGCGGCGGTGGCGGTGTGGGGCGCGTCGGGTCTCGCTGGGCCTGGTTACCAGCAGTGTGGTGATCCCTCAGGCCTGGAGCTGCTCGCCCGCCTCTCTCCATCTGCCGCTGGTTTGCATGTATAAGCATGTAATCGTATTTCTCTAATTTCACGCTGGATCAAAGGAAATGCGGTTTCAGTAGCGAAACACATTCAAGAGTCAGTGTTTTCCATTTGTGAAAATTGTTCTGCGTAAAAGAATGTGTGGGTTTCTGTGAATATTAGGGTGAGCGATATGACGCGTATTCCCTGGGGTTTCTTCTGAGTACAACCATGTGACTTCACTTTTCAGCATCAAACTGTGGCCCAAATAGTGGTGTAAGTCCCAAATGTAGAGTTTGGTGTGGACCCTGAGTGGGCCTCTTTAATTCACTATTAGCATCCCATGCCGGCAATAATTTCATTGGATGTCATGATGCCAGACGACCAGTGGGTGGCATGGTAATTAATGAGTCACACTAACCTGGAGACATGATGCTAGGGCACTCTTAGTCAAGCAAACTGATCAGTGATTGTGAAATATCCAGCTTTTTGGAGGTGTGATCCTTCAAGGCCTTTTATATAAGTGCTTTTGGAATAGCGCCTCCTGCTGTATGTACTGTAACATGCTCCTTCAGTTCACTACCTGACTCCTGCCTTCCTCACTTTGTCAAATTCCTCCATTCAGCTGATTTTGGCGCTCATTGGCTACTGTGGCCTGTACTGTATATGCTCCTCAGGTTTGGTTTTCCCTCGTCCCGGGCCCCCAGGGGCCCTCTATGCTGGGGTTTGCCTGCCTTTTTGGGGACACTCCCCTGAAAGAACCGTTTTAGCTGCTGTTCCCCTCTGTGATTGGCTTATGACATCGTCACTTTGTCATCCCACGCGAGTGTCGCTGGAGAAAAACATCCCACAAAGTGTTTTACAGATGTCTGTGCAAGGGGCCACGCTGATTCAGGGGATTATGGCCCCCGCTATTCAAGCTTCCTTCCCCAGACCCCCAGGAGGCCCCCGGGCCACCCTCTCTCAGGGACTCCCCTCCTTCTGTCTGCGGTTCTGCTGGCGGCTGAAGAGAGAGAGAGAGAGAGAGAGAGAGAGAGAGTCCTGCAGGACATGTTTTTCCTGAGTGAATTTTCTTGTACAGAATTAGACTCGTTAGTCAGATGAAACTAGAGCTGATTTACAGTGATGTCAGTGTCCCTGGGGGGCCACAGTGTGGAGGGGGGGGTGGGCTCCCCGACGAGCAGCCGGCTGCGGTCTGCACACAGCCTCCGTGGCTGCGGAAACATGCCGCTGGTTTCTCATTGGCCACTCGAACCCGCAGGTGAGGCCTTGGTGACCCTCCCCCTTCCGCAGGCAGTTACGCTCACCGAGAATCAAATCGAGTGAAGGCTGAGCGGCTGTCAGGAAAGTGTTACGTAACGACCCCCGGGCCGGGGCTCTGGGAGTCGCGGGGGGGTGGGGGGGGTCGGACGACCTGACACTCTATGTCTTGTGTCTGTTTACTGGCTTTGATGGCTTTGTTTTCTGTGCTTCTTGGGAAAGCAGCTGCTGTCCATCATGAAACACCTCCCTCATCTGCAGCTGCTCCTCCACGTCCTCCACACCTCCTCCGTGCTCCTCCCTGCTCCTCACTCTCCCGCACGCACGCTCGGCACACAATTCTGTATGTGCTTAGCGCACACGTGTCTGCTTAGTGTCTTAATTTAAGTCACGCGGGGATATGCATAAAGGAAGATTTCACAGTTTTCCTCTCTAAATAAATCCATTTTCTCTGTATATGCATAGGCAGTGTTTTACGGCCAAGTCTTCAGTTTAAAATTTTTTAAACAAAACCGAACGAATTTCAGCAATAGCCATTATATTTATGTTTTTAGTTCACAGTTGTTAATAAGAGTGATTTTTCTCTGGTTAGCAGCCATTGATGTGAGGATTTGCCAACATTGCTGACAGACAGTGACTGTAGTCAGTATCTGCGCTGGTAACATTTACGGCTCTTAGTGGCTGATTAGTTTGTAATGAAATTGCGTGTTTTGGCCACTGTGTGCTTGTTGGAATCTCCCATGCTGAGTTTGTCTTTAAGTTTTATAACCAAGTCGAAAAGGAAATCAGGCAGTTTCTTTGGGGAGGGAGTGAGACACAGAAGGGCTGTAGGTCATGTCTGACCTATAATGTAGATAGAGTTTAATATAAAACATTTGAGAAGTTAATACATTTAAAGTTTGTGGACACAGCCAGAACCTTGCATCCTGGCTGGGGACCTTAACATTGGCAAAATACTTTAAAATATTTTTGTTTTCTTCCTTTAGGCCTGAGAGTTGTGTCAGTAAAACTGGAAAAACTGAAGTTAGCATCTGTGAGCAATTAGGGTGCGTTTTGTGCTGGTGATACATCATTATGCAGTCCTACAGGAGGACACTGCTGATTTTGAGATTGCAGACGCTTTTAATAAGGTTATGCGAAAGCCACTCTGGATTACGCCATTAAAGGATACTTTTGTAGGAATGGGGGTCAGTATTAATAATGTGATCAGCTGGTTATTGAACCTTTTGGTTAAGACCCTGCTTACCTGATTAAGGTGGGTCTTTAAGTTCATCACTCTTCAGTAAACTCAGATCTCTGACAGTTGCTGCTTGTTCTTTTACATTTTATTTATTTAGCAGGTGCCTTTGGGCAAAGCAGGGTCAGAGACCATGGCTGAGGGTGAAATCCAACTGCAGACCCTGGGACTTGAACCTGGGACTCTGCAATCGTGGGCACAGCAGCCTAACCCATGAGCCACACAGAACCCCTGTGGATGCTGGAATATCATAGATATGTGTCTTCATGGGTTGGAAGTCGAGCCTTTAAGGGCTTCTCTCACTCTTTCACCCATAATACTCCAGCCTGAGTGTAATATTGTTCTCCTGCAGTCTGTGGACTGTAGATAAGCCAGATCTTGATGACAGCTGTTTGTAAAAATGTGCCCCGTTTTAAACTTTGGCGTCGAGAACTTTCAGTATCCACTGCTGTAGTGTAATTTTAGGAGAGTTTTTTTATATATATATATATATATAAAATCTCAAAGCTTTGAATTCTACTTTAGGTCTTTATAGACTTGGATATTTATCAGGAGGAATTGAGGTTAAATGCATAATTTAAGGGTACAACAGCAGGACCTGCACTTGGGAATTGAAAGCAGTGCTTGTCCAAGTCTGTCCTTAAACTCCGCCTGGGCCTCAAAAATGCATCAGAGCCAAAAGCGAAAATCACAAAACCGCTGAGAATTTATGTGCTGCTAATCTGCAAGATTTTGTTTTTCTGCCTCCAGAACATCGACACTGACAACTGGAAAAAAAACACACTTGATGATATTAACACCATTTTGACAAATTAAATTTTCCAGTCTTTCTGGCTCGACAGGAATTTGGCTTGGAAATTTCAGCGTTGGGAGACAACACAGTCTTGTTCGATTTAGCATGACAAGTGGCGTGAAGGTCACTGATCAGCATAGGCGAGACAGTCAGAGGGCCTTCCGCAGCCGGCCACGGGTGCGAGCCGCGGGCAACAGCGGACTGTTTGCCCTGGACTGTGTGTGTTCAGTTTAACCTACATTTTGAGGTTTTTTCAGTACATTTCCATGAAAAGTGTCTGAGTTCGTCCTGTGAGGCCCCGGGAGAAAGCGGTTGGTGTTCAGGGGGGTGAGGGGGGGGGCTTTGTGGAAGCCGAAAGTGCCAGGACCAGTGTGGCCAGTGAAAGGGGGGCTTGTACCAGGAGAGAGTAGCCTGCATGGAAAACACACCCACCCCCTCACGCCGAGCGAGTGGAAGGATCGATTACACTGAGAGTGCAGCTCCAAAGCCCCCTCAGGAAATCTCCGCATCTCCCTTTGAAACACCACGGGGGGGGGGGGGGGGGGGGCTCTAATGCTTTTCATTTGTCTTACTGCTGAGTTTGAGAAATTTCAAGGAGAGGAAATGCCGAAGTGCATTCTGGGAAAGCGGCCTGTCCGCCAGTGGCAGAGCTGCACAGCCGTCACATTTTTCTGCGTCTGGCTTCCTTGAGTCCTTCCCCCCCCCCCCGGCAGCTCACTGTTTTGATGGGAAATGCTTCCCAGCTGCCCTTCGCTGGGCCGGGGGGGGGGCACGTGACTATGCCGCACGTCTGCTGTTATGTAAGACGGCAAGCTCGCCGCTCGTCCCTTCGGGCGGCCGAGAGGGTGACCCAGCGCGGGTTTTCTGGAATTGTCTGTTCCAGCTTCACGCCAGACTTTCGGGAATTTCCTGCATCCCGACCGGTGAACCCCAGCACAGATTAACGGGCTAAAGATGAAGGACAGAGAGTGAGACTAAAGTCGTGAACCTGGCACTGAAAATGCAGCAGGGAATCTGGCAGGGATTCCAGGGGCCAGTAACAGGCTGTCACTGATTCGCTGATTTTGGGATGTTTTATTTGCATACAGACATATAGTATAAAAGTTATCGGTGTCGTTACCTGCCCTTCTGAGGTGTATAGCCCTGCCCACTGCACTGTACTGCCTGCTTCTGTGCTAAAGGCAGCACGGACGCTAATTAAAAAGTGTGAAACATTACTTCGTTACTTATTTACATAAAGCCATAAGTCCAGATTGGCAGGTTTTGAATGCACCTACAGTCTCCATCATCTCTCCAGTCTCCTTTAGCTTTTCAGGTCATTATGAAAATCTGTTTTCCGCCCACAGATACTTCCTGAAAAAACTCAATAACATCCCAAATCAGCAGTTTGGACCTCGTGCAGCATTATGCTCTGCCTGTTTAAGCAACCGTGCAGGACGCTGTCATAGGATTAAGTGCCCTGTCAGATCTGTGTAAGATTCTTATCCATCCCAATGTGGTTTTATGGAAACCTCCATTCTGCTGTATCAGCTTCCACGAGCTGCTGCCTTTTCCCACTGCAATCTCCTGTCGCTCTTTTTCTCATTAGTAAAACATGATGTTCAGTATGTTTCTGGGTGTGCGATCAGTGTGTGTTTCTCTGATGGCTTTTATGAGTGCCTCTGATGACATCACCGGTGGCTTTCCTGGTGATGTGATGAGTAGCTGACCTTCTCTGTCTTCTCCCTCCTCCCAGAGCGAGTCTACTGGGGCTCCGAGCTGCAGATCCCCACCACCAGCTTCCAGGAGGTTCTCCATGATGATAAAACCGCGCTGGCCTGGCTTACCACCCTGCGGCGCATTGGCATAGTCTACCTGAAGGGGGCATCGCTGGAGCAAGGTCAGGTGGCCAAATTGAGCCAGAGGATTGGCTACCTTAGGCTGACCTTCTACGGGTGAGTGTGCCGTCCTGTTTTAGACGGAGCTTGTGAAATCACCCACCTTGACCAGCGTCTGCAGTTTTCTGTCTGCCAAAGAACTAAAAAAACAATCTAAATGGGGAAAACTTTTTTAAAAAAATGACCAATAACATCTTATGGCTTATCGAAAGAACCCAGCCTCCAAGACTCACTGTGGGCTTTGTTTTTGTAGTTAAATGTAAACCTGTGAAGTGTCTGTTTCCGCCATATATCAGCTTTGCCAGAGCTGCTCAGCTTTTGCCTCAGTGACCTCCATCCCCACGGCCGTCCTGCCATGTGAGATGCCTCACGGCCCGTAGGTGACGTCTGTTGCTGCGATCGGCAGCTCTGCTGTTTCGTCCGACATGCCTTTTGCAAATTTGTAGATTTCTGTCCTGTTAATGACTGCAATCTCAGCTGCTGTGCTTGTAGTTAGCTGGTTTTGGACAGGGTAAAGATCTCGGGGTGACTATTGGAGCCAGCAAAGTCCATAACTCTCTTCCTGCTACTTACAATAAAAATATTTTTATAACAATTTATACCAATCAAATAATCATTCACAGTGCAGCTAAACTTGGCATGACTTATGGACTTTTTAATTGCCGAATTTGAGCATTGTCCTTTGGATTTAATGTGCATGTTTTTTTAATTTACCCATAATGCTTCAGTGGATACCGTGATGAGATTTCAGCTGCTTTCACGGTGCGTGATGAACGGCCTGTTGGCAGGATGCGTCTCACAGCGGGGAGACGTTCGCAAAGGACCTCTGTGGGGAAAAACTCTTTCTGCCATGAAGAAAAATTTGATTTATCTCCTTATGTCACTTCAAAAAAATCCCGTGTTTGTATGCCGTGAGCCGACCGCTCTATTAAGAGCAGATGTCTGAAGCCGTAGGTGAGCCGTGTGTGTTTGTGTTTGGTCATCGTTGCTAGGTGTGCGTCTGTGCGGATTGATGGTATGTGTGTTGAGATTCAGGACACCTGCCCTATGGGATAGCCCCCCCCCACCACGCCGGGATGGGCGGGTTCAGGGATGATGTTCCGCTCCCCCTCC